GTTAATAGAGAACGGGAGCACCGGCATCGGGTACAGGGATGTAATTGGAAAGCGCCGGAAGCTGCCGTTAAACGAACACACTCCGGATAAACAAATTAACCAATCTTTCGAGAGCGTCAAGAGGCAGGTTGATTAGATATCGATCGTTCCGCGGCAGTAGATAACCGGAGACACCCCTATATAAACGATACCCATATAAAAGAGCCACCGGAAATACATAGTGAACCGGTGACCTGAGTTAACATTGAAAATAATCCACAGGTGAAAACGGAAATAACATTATATTTTATTATTATTTCAGAGAATATCGTCGTACGAAGAAAGAAAAAAAAAAGCCATGGGTCCCCTCCGCGTCATTTTCTTTATCGTCCTGGCGTGCTGGCTGTCCCGCAACCAAGGAGCCCCAATGCCCATGAAGATCGGTACGTGAAAACGTTGCGAACGCAGCTTAATGGAGTACGCATTTATCTCGGCGAGGATAACACCATCGGTCCGGCAAAGAGGCGTGCATAGATCAAACGAAGTAGACGCAGGGACGCCGTTCCCGTCACGAAAGTCGCGCATTTCGTGAGGGTGGCTCCCTCTAACCTCGTTCCGTTCCATTTCCACGAGGGATTCTTAGCGTTTCTTCCTACGTTCGCCATGCCCGTCTGCAAGTCGTACACACGCGCACCCCGAGCGCCATGGCGCAGACAGAAAACAGATATCCAAGCCAACCCCCCAAAAAAAAACACCCGCTGCACGCCTCCATATAGGCTTCGAGGACATTATCTCTACTCAAGGATTCTCCAGGAGAGACAACGTGACAGACGTTGATATTATAAGAATCGAGGTGTTCCATTTACTCGACTGAACTTTCTTTATGCGTCTGCATATCTTCGTTCTTGTACGCTTGGTCGCGTGCTACCTCGACGTCTGGGACGAGGACGAACTACGGAGTCTTTATTGACGTATTATACAAGGCGCTCGCTCGCGGTTTCCCTTGTTTCCCAGCCTGGCAGACAATTGTGTAGACATTTGTCATTCCTTTCTCTGGGTAAACAGCTCTTATGAAAATAACCCAAATATTTAAAGGAAACGAATGGGTTTCATAAAAATGATCTCGACTCTCTATAAGGTAGCACAGCTATACAGATATACGTCAGTGGACATGCCAAATGCCTTTGCGAATCTTCGAATATACGCACGACATTCTTAATACTGTGAGAAATTTTCATCGACCCGCACGCGAATTAAGTTGTTCGATGTGAATTTATACTTTTTAAAAAGATTACAAAATAAACTTAATTCTAAATGATTATTAATAAGAGTGATGCTGCTCGATTCAGCTGTAGTCATCGTAACTCGCGTCATTTTATTTCATTGGAACAATCGCGTAAACCCGAACTGCCGCGAAACTCGCGCGTGCGATCCCTTGAAATATCGTCGTGGCCGGAAGTGACTTGAGACATTGCGAAAGTCGATTTTATTGTATTCGTTTTCACGCAACGGCGGGAAACTACCCTTATTCCTTTTTTTCATCTCTAGGGAACGCCGAGAAATAGCGAAGCCTATTTTGAAAAGGTTAAGGCGTCCGAGAATAAGGCTTGCGTAACGGCGACGAAGTCATGGTCGGCGAGCAAATCGCACCAAAGACACGAGGGGCCTTTGAGTCTATATTCACGGAGTCCATTAGCGTTCGGCACGTTGCCTATGAGGAAGAAAAAGAAGAATGATTTAGCCGAAGAACGGGCGCGTGAATGTGGAAGCACCCACGTCTTTTATTCCGAGCATAGCTCCCTTACGTGTCAATGGACTTAGCATGTTTTGTATGGAGAATGTCCGCTACGTGGGCAGGACAGTCGATCTCTATGCATTGTACGTCAACGACGTTGTTCCGTAGCATTCGGTACGGGAAGAATATCGAAATACATGGAGAACTTCCGTAGTCGCTCGGAGCACTTCCTGATAATGACACCAGCGCCGCCCACGGGATTCCTTGGAGACTGGAAAAAGTCTTACAGGAAATTCATGCCAATCCTGGAGTTATGATGGACTTTAAGCTCGGCTCGTATACGCAATCCACGTCTCAGGTCACGAGTGTCGATTATAATTTTAAAGGTAATAAATGAGAGCGAAAGATCTGAGAGAAAAGGAGAGATTTGCAAGTGAAGAGAAAATGATCAGAGGGATAAGGAAAATATTTAATTCTTACAGTCCGATCGTTCCGAGGGAAGAGAAATTTTCAACAAAATTTTCGTGACAGCTTGCTCGTGACATGTTAATTTTACAGTACGCTTTGCCAGGTTACCCTGACCTACAACTTCGAATATGATCTACGCCCGAGCGCCGACGATAGAAATACCCAAGGCTCGTGCACTTGTCGCCATTTAGGAACGGCACGGAGTTGCGACCCAAAACCACGTAATTTGTTTCGCTACACTTCTGGAAAATTGCGTACTTGAGTTTCATGATAATTAACCTCAGTCCAGTGATTAGTGGATTGGAGCAATTTCGAAAAGTTTCTCGACGATATTCACCGAGCGATCATTATTTCTTCTTTTTATACTTCTTCGTATACTCGAGCAGAGTAAAATCACCTAATACTCTAGCTTAAAACCTCGTTCTACGTACACGATCCAAAAATAAGAATTTCGCTATTCAGCACGGTCATATTAAGGCATATTACAAAGTCGTATGGGTACAAGCTCATGACCCTATAGGTACGAACCTCAATAATTTCAAAAGCATACCTTTACAGGTATACACAAAAGATGAAAATCTTCGGAAGCCCTACGAAAATTGTCATTGACAAATTATAATAAAAATCGATACCACTCCGACACTCGGTAATATTTCTCAAGGAATTCCCGTGAACCAAATTTTTCCTTTGACTAGCGAAATCCCATACGATCTCAGAAAGCACGCGGCGGAAACCGGAATTGGCTGGACCAGCAAAAAAATTGGCTTTCAGAAAGATTTTGCTATATGTCCAAGAGCAGTGAAAAATATATAATAAAATTCAAAATCGATTTCTGCACGTATATTATCTGATGCATGCTTAATAAAATGCGTTATCAAATAGCTATGACCTTGATTGCATGGTCGAAGATAATTTTGCGATACTGTACGCTCCTTACGGCAACGTCTTTGTTCTCATAATGAATAACTATACGATTGGCTCAATCACGGTGTATTCATCGCTCGGCAGCACCCTACTTGGACACTGCACAAAATCGTACAACAATAACAACAGAGCACAAGATTAAATTACACTACGCCGTATTACCCTTAGAAAATATCGAGCAGCGTTTCGCTGGCTGTTACAATTTCAGACTCAACGAATTTAATAATAGCACTACCGAACTGAACTTTGCTTCGGAGCAGATAATAATTACATGTTTAATTAAACTACCCTCGGCGCACAGAAATTCACCCCTGTCGTTTTGCGATATTCTCAAGATAACTGCACCTACAGTGGATTTGCCTCTCGTGCGGTACTGGATAATAAAGAAACTCATTACATCCCAATAGGAATACAATTGGTCATCGATGCCGTAAAGGAAACAAAAGACAAATGTATATGTATACAGTCTATTGCCGGTTACGTAATGTCAATGTAAATATCTGTATCGTATACGGTATAATACTATGCTTCTCGAATATTCAAATCGAAATGGCTATTTCACAAGGAGATATGGAATCGTCGATACTTTTCGGAAATCGACCTTCCTCCTACCATATTTGGCACAAGCATAACGTTTTGGTTCTGCAACACCGGATATGCACTGCTGAACGAATCATTTCCCGCTATTTCTCCGTACACCTACAGTTTCTATGGGGAATCTGCAAACAGTTTGATTCTCCGAGTTTTTTCATCATTTCCGCTGTATTCTCCAACTTCCTCGACAAACCGGGATGACCTTTATGCCGCCCATGTATTTTCGATGACAGGCGCTTTTCACTGGATTTTCATCTAATCCTTGGAAATAATAGTCCGGTCCAATAGGTTACGTCACGACGTGATGTTGAATATAGTAGACGAAGAGGCTGCTCTGGTCGCGACGGACGCCCACGCGTATCCGTTAATAGGAATTCCGAATGAATGGCGGGCGCGTCCGTTGACTAGACTGTGCGAGAAAAGTGGGTTCGCTACACGTGGTGCGAATTCCAAGTTTTAGGAGCGTGGTACCGTATTTGGAAGGGCTGAGAGGACCTGTACTACGATAGGTGAAGGATCGACTGTGCACCATCGGCACAGTAAATTAGAAACAAACAAGTAAGGGAAAGGATGGTTTTTATTAATTGGAAAATGAATGGATGCACGAACGGGAGCGAACGGTTACGGAAATGCACGGCTGCTCAGACTGCTAGGTTGAGATAGAGAGGGTAGGAATAAGCGTCAGGTAAATAGTGCCGGAAACAGGGAGCAATTTATGGAGAACGTAGTAGGACGAATCGGAGCTGTAAAATCGAAATCCTTCCACCAATTAATAAATTGGGAGTACTCACCGGAGCTGGTTCAGCTGATCCGTGAAGGCCGAGAACTGCATCCAGGAGACACTGAGGTGGGCACTGCACTATAGCACAACACTGCACCTCCGAAAGACACGTAGAAAGTCGATAGGATTTTTTGGATATTGAGAGAGAGCAACGCGAGAACCACACAAGCGAGAACTTCCTATACCGTATAGGAAACGCGGCTAGAAAAACTATAAACAAATAGCACGGGAGCACGAGCGACCTCGAGGCACCCCGATCAGTGTCCCAAGACTGACTGCTCTAAAGCAGTCAATTGGCAATAGTCAAATTCTGGAACTAATCATTCTGATTGGTCGAGGTCCTTGTAGCCGATAACTCTTATCCTTTCCCTCGAATCATCCCTTTAAACTAAATCAAGAGCGTTCCTTGGCGAATCGGTACGTCACTCCTGGAGATCCTCCACGGAGGCTTCCCCAGGGCATCGGCCGACAGATAAGCACCACATCCTCAACTCGGGTCACGGTGTTGAGTTAATTTAACTTTTTATTAATTTTAATTACATCCCAAACACGAATTTTCTTCCAGTAATTAAAATTTCGATCTCATAGCCAGTGCATTCAATTTTGAGCGAGATTAAAATGAATAATTCGCAGTTACCGTACCAAATGAAATTAAAAAAAAATACGTGGAGATAAAAACGCGTTCCAATCTATCACGCATTGAATTTAACTGACTCGATTCAATAAATAAAATTTTCTCCATTTTAAAAAATAATCCACCAAAGTTCAATGGTCGACAGTGGATTTGATTCTTTAACGTAAAATACACTATAGACGTCTTATACAGATACGTCGAACCGTGACGTAGTACGAGTTGGTTAGGATCAAAAAGAATTAACCCTGTTGAAATTACGCTCAACGCCTCTAAACCGTTCCATCAATAGATGAGGTATATATATACAAAGTCATGAAATACAATGGATTACTGCTGTAGCAGAGCCGAAACGCCCGCTTCCCACTTTACAAAGTAACCAACGTATAGCAAATACAGGGAGGGTGAAATTGCTTTGTCGATATTAACAGTCACAATATACCCTCACGTGTAAGGAAGACGTGTAATATTTCCCTTGCGCAGAGATTGTACGCATTAATTCAAAATTATGATAAAATTTTAGTCGCTCCTTAAACCCCATATCTGTCGAGCTAAGCCGCCGACACAATGCGCAAAGACGGGACGAAACACTAAAGATGCAATCTTATGCGCCAACTGCAATATTGTAGCAGCAGGTATACTTGTGTATAAAAAGAGTGTCAATGACTTGAGCAGTACCATGTCTCCTCCAGCAAAACAGCAAAGTATCTTTAAGGGTAAAATAAGAACGATGCACCGTAGCACACTATAATTTCACCCTCTCCTCCCAAACTTACATTAACCCCGCTATTAACAGTCTTATGTAAATTTTGTTTGCGAGCAGTCGCGCTCGACAATGCCGCGAAAGCGAGTAGGTAATGTTTCCACAGTCCCTTCCCGGCCTTGAATAATATTACTTGAGTAGCACTAAAGTACAGAGCCCCTCCTTTTTAACCTCTCGAAATATCTTTGCACCCGCGTACTTTTCTCCCTTTTCATTTATAATACAAGCAAGTTCTCCGGTAGACTCCAACAGCCCTTAAGCTATCCACGGCGTGAGTTAATCCAAGGGATGAAATAAGTTATCCCGTCCATCGATTTGAGAAGAGAAACGCTTTCTGGGTCTGGTATAGACGATGCAGTGGTACCATTAAGAATCCTTCACGGCAATAGTCATCCGATAGAGAAATCAATCGGAAACGATAGATTGCCGAACGCTCGATTACACATCGGGGATCCACGAGTCGAAGAGTAAGAGAGATGCAAAGAGTCATGGAACATATCACATCACCGTCGGCACTGTCGGCACACTGAAACCAAGATGTTATTGTTGTACAAGAATAACGCGAGCTTTGTTCGCATAATTATTGTTTAGCTTGGATACCAAGTCTGCAAGGCCACGGGTTCATTACGTGGCTAGATAAGCGACTCTGGCTCGGTTTCTCTCCCCCGTCACTTTATCCAGTCTCGGTCGACGTCAACTCTGTATCTACTTGCCGACGGTCTCTGTTTTCTTCTTCCTTCCTTCCTTCCTTCCTTCCTTCCTCTTTCCTCCTCGTTGTCCCTTCTTCCGTGTGAACGATAGTGTATTACCAAGTTTTCAACTCGGCAAATGGATAGCGCTGCTTAGCCGAGCGAGTGACGCAAGGCGAGGTTGAACGTGAAATCAAGGTAGTCCCACATAGCTATAAAAATATTGTGATTTCGGGTAGAGCCAAAAATGGTGTTCAACATTTTTCTACGATCTTTTAAATCGAGAGGATTAAACGCTTGGAGAATATTCTCGGTTTGTCGATATAGGATTATTAATTATGTAGGTCGGTAGCGATAAGAGAAAATTGATAAGATGCGTTTTTTGCGACACCTGGTCGAAATTGGACAATATCCACGGTAACGACGGAATGATAATTCACATCGCGGTTTGCGAGAACTACAATTCACGTTCTAAGATCAAAGGAAAGTTTGTTGCCGGCGAGTCTGACCGAACTTGAAGTAAACCGCGAGCCCGAAGATGCATAGCCGTATAAGCGGAACTGCACTGAGCATGCGCAGAACTCTACGAGTCACGGTAACAATTTAACTGCAGTTGCGGCAACAAATCAGCCACTTCAACTCGAATTATATAGAGAATTACTGTAGAGGCTACTGCCTACGGGGACTCGTGCGCGATAAATTTCGAGAATACCGGATGGCATCGATCACAAAGAGAATTTCGATCTGTGCCTAATGAGCCGCTGGGTCAACGAGGAAAGAATCCGAGTAATACGATATTTCACAAAGGGAGCCCTGCTTCTACGATTAACCAAAGGGAATCATTCGGCGAAGGTTTCGTTCTTTTTGTCGACGAGGCCTTCCTCAGGTGGCTTACTAAGGACATTTGCTGCGTCTAATTAGAAACAATGCTGCTCATCCAGAGTGTAGTTAGTCTAAGAGCATTTTGGTAGATTGCCAAATTTATACCAACACGACATTCTCAGGTGGGTCACGAGAATACAACCGAAAGGTATGTAATGTTGATATGTATTGTTTTATTTCTAGCCAAGGAGCTATTCTAGCGAATATGACGTCAGGATAACAAACAGTATCGTCCATTCACAGGAAACGAGAAGTATTGAACTGATGGCAATGCCAACTTATTGTCAGAGAAAATCTATGGAGATGCGCAATAAGTACTATTTATTACTTTGATCTATATTTAAAGATCGTTCACTCATTGGAGATTGAGATAGGTCAGGTCGAATGATCTGGAGCAATGTTCCCTAACGTTATACCAACGAATGGGATATATTGATAGGTGGAATTCCCACAGGTCCTTACGATTCCATAAGATCGTATTCCAAAGTTACTGAAGAGTTTACAGATCGAAACTTCTTTTGTTCCAAACACATGAGAAGTTCTTTCAGACGTATAGGTTCCTGTTGGCAGAACAAGTAAATCACGTTAGGTAGAATTTTCGCGATACTGGTATAAAGTCTCACATACCCGGTGGCATAATACTTCATTGAAGTAAACATTGCTGATCAAGTAACCCGTGAGACAGCAGTCGCAGCGATCGCATCAATGATAGATTCAGCTGTACTATCTTGTGGTTTCAGACAAACGATGCCAGTAGTCAGAGTCAGCGTTGAGTTAGACTGATCTCTGTTCCCGTCTGCTCGACTACCCTTTGACTTGCTTTGACCCACATTGCTGTACTAGATGTCAACAAGCAGACATAATAAGAAATCGAGTCGACCCTGATACACTGCAACATTAAATAACAGAAGACTTGGAATGAGACATCAGATATTTGTATGTACAGCAGATTTTTATCGTATGGTATTAAAGATACAATGAAAGTTAATAATTACGTCTAGTAATGGATTCTTATGATTTAATGGATATCGTGTATGCTTTTCTAAAATTGTATAAAATGTTCAGTCCTACAGTCCGTAGACTACAGTCATCGAATGTCGAACTTTTTCGACGACCTACTTCAATTTCCGATTTATTCGTATAAACTCGACAGAAGTTCTCGGAACTCACCGCGGCTGTCAAACGCACGCATGGCTCTTCGAACTTTTGACAAGGAAAAGACGTCAAAGCCCACTTGGAAATTGCTAGAACTCACTTATTCCGGACTGAAGATGCTGCGCGTCTTGCGATAACATTACGATAGCCAATGTCTGTATATACTATATATAGTGGATGTAAATAGTTGCACCTTCGATTTTGAACTCCGTCGACGTGTTACTTTTACAAGAAGACGTTTATCCATATCAACGTTGAAATTGTCGAATGAATTAATTCCTTCGGGATGGGGATTACGGGAATCCCTAAAACAAAAAAAAATGACAACGTACATTTTTTATTTCAAAACTTTTCATTTGACTCCAATATATTATAGCGGCTTGTTATGTATACGATGGATATAAAAATACAAGGGTACTGTTATCAATTAGCGAAATGGATGCTCCAAGTAATCAACAGGCTCTGTGATCGGTCTACCACTCATTGGCGTGATAAAGAGTTCGCTGCTTCATCGCTCGTAATAAGCAGTTTCTCCAGCTGACTCGACGACGCGTTTTGAATCCTTAAACCTTGTACTTCAGGGAACAGACTTTGGACGAGGAGAAAGAGGAAGAGCAGCGGTATCAGGGGAAAAGGATAGACTGAGAAAGATAGATAGGAAGAGATCCAGGGGATGAGGATGAAGATGAGAAGAAGATTGAGCTGCACCCTCATAGTGATGCTGCCAAATGAAACCTCCCGAAATTTCTACTTCGGCCAATTTGTATTATGGAAATAGCTCATTCGAGAACGAATATTTTTTAGGAAATTCGCCAAAATGAAGTCGCGGATTTTTTAATCCACACATGTGACGTCGGCATCCGATTTAGAGTAATTTTCTACACTTCATTACGGGAAGGTGTATTAAAAAATGAATAAACAATGTACCACCCGTTACATACTTATATGTAAAATCTTTCATGACTTTAGGAACGAATACGGTACTGCGTACCTAGAGTTACGTATGCATATGTTCATTCACGCGTACCGATACGACGTTCCTGAAAAGCTCGGAAACTCGTAATAATTTACCCGACTAAACTCCATCGGCAGGCAAAACTCATAATTCACGAGCCGAAATAATTACAATTTATACGCGATTATACGCGGGAGTGCTGGATTTTCAGGGGAGCGTTACAGCTGCGCATGTTACTGCAACTGCAGAAGCAGCAGGCGAGCACATAGGCCGCAACTGCGCCACTGCGTTCGGGACAATAAATATACGGTGAAACAAAGTGTGATTTGCGATGTGACGGGTTTACAATGCTGTGAAACGGCAATAGTTAACGTGGACTTCAGGGACTTATGGGCTTTTTACGACGGTAGGACTCCTATATAAAATACGAGGCCGATGCGCCGTAGGTATAGCGAAAGGAAGAAGAAGATTTGAAATGGGAGAAAAATAGTAGGCGAAAATTCTATTAAGTCAATCGGACCCGTTCAATTCCTTTCCACAGGACACTCGAAACTATTCGGATTCCCCGAAATCTCAATTTCGAATTCTCTAAGACCTTTAATCGAAATTCATCCGACTTTATCTCTTGCTCCGAGAATGTAACCTGCGCAAGCTGCAACTACACGACCCTGGCGTAATCCTAATCGGCCAGGGCTCAGGGATTGCTTAGTTTAAACTGACTAAATCGTATGCAAGTTAGTTTCTATGGGACACTAGTTGAACAGCTTGCCCGGTTATGGTAAATCCACACTCCCAAGTACGATGTTATAAGGAATATTAACATACGTTATGCCTTCAGGATCTACGAATTGGGATATATATCTCTTTTATCAGTCATAGATCATACGAATATATATACGTTGTATGATATATGGCTGTATTTATCTCGGTAAATTGGCATGTGCGAATTTTCAATCTATCCTTTGATAATGAATGATGCTAATTAAAATCGTGTTGAAATTTAAATAATTATGTTGCTGAAAGAGATATTAAAACGTTATTGGATTGTTCATTAGCTTTGATAATACTTAACAAAATTGCTATATGGTTAATTGGGTATATGGATTTGTTGATGTTATAATACCATTATTTATTAACTTTTTTCAGGAGCTATCTTTCACGATGGAGATGTGGAGCACCAGATTGTCTTTCTTCATGCAATCGATCAAATCAAGTACGACAGTAAAGAACCTACTTTCGAGTATGAACCAATCATCAAATGGGTATCTAGTCGCACCGACAGCTTTTCCACGGAAAGAGTTAGTGAGTGTCACGTAATTAGAGATTATGTGAAAATGAAAATTTTATTTTTATTAAGTGTTTTCAAGAAAATATATATAAGTATATTCCAAGCGGAGTGCATTAAAGTGCAAAATGATATGGATGGACGGTATTTGTAATTAATTAAAGTAATGTTTATATAACAATCGAAGCGGTTACTGAACGTGGGTAAATATTCCATTAGGTTTCGAATGAATTTAATTTCATTTCGCAGGAACTATGTGAATTTCATCCGAAATAATAATAATGAAATATTCGTTAAGTTTACGGACATATTACGTAGGGACAGAAGATTTTTAAAAAAATATTATTAATTCTGAAAAATTATACAGCACGTATAATGATGCTAAAAAAATGCTCCGTTTGCCTTGAGAGAAAATTCTATAAATTTTATTAGATCAAGCGATATTGGCATCTGCGAATTTCCTAAAAAAGTAAATACCATCCCTTACTTCCTCGTGATCTCCTACCTCATAGTAAATCTCCTTCAAAATCTCCTTCTCAATCACCCTCACTTATCATCCCCTACCTTTTAAGGTATTCCGAGCGCATGACGGCAGTCTTCAGAAATTAATAATTTCTCATATATATTGGATATATAATATAATTTGGATATATCAGAGATTAAGTATCGCACTTAAAAAATTCGAGCCACCGAAATTTGTCACTTTCAAAAATTACAAAATTATATAAAAATTCTAAATTTCGTCTGTTTTATGCATCAGAGAGTTTAATAAGAATCTAAAAATCGTTTTATCGCAGTACAGCTTTACGTGCTCGAGAATATTAGGGACCCTGCTTGGGCGTCCACCAAAAAAATAGACTTTCGTCCTGGGAATACCTTAACGGCTTAAAAGAGTCTTACAAATTTCCCAAACTTTCCGCTCATCGTTCGCTTAATTATTTTTTGTCTTCATTTTCAACGCAGCCCGCGAGATGATCAATGAGGGCGTCGTGGCGATTTTTGGCCCCACGAGTCCACATACTCGTGGGATCGTTTCCAGCGTCGCGGCGACTTTCGACATACCTCACATAGATTTCATCTGGATCCCGCCCGAAGAGTCTATTTACCCACCTACAGGCATCAACGTCTACCCCAACAGCAAAGACTTCATCCAAGTAAGCTCAAATCGATTACCGGCTCCAGTAATTCCAGATTGAGGTCCAGAATATATCCTCAGCATCCGATTCCTCCCAGGTCGTTAAAACGATAAACCGATATATACTATGCTGGAAAAACAAAACTGCATCTCGAAAGCAGCGACACTTTAATACCTGCCTTGATGCAATTTGGCCATAGCGCATACCAATATGTGCATGTATATAATATACCAGCACGATATATCTATATATACCGACATATACACATAGTTACTTACGGACTCATATACGCGCGTATGCATAGACGAAGAGAGGAAAACTATTTCCTAGTCATGTAGAATAACACAGTGGCACACGTGTACCCCCATTCCGGTCTACAATAATCCCATTTTATCTCCAGCGAGTCCCGCCGTTCCCACTCTAAGAGGAATTTCGTGTATCTATATTTTATTTATTTGCCCCGCTCGGGATTTCTGAATAAAATAAATTAAAAGGTGAAAAAGAAGGAAAAGAAAAAATGATAAAAAGGTAGAAAAGTCGAAAAGAAGGCTTCTCCGTCCTCTCGTTTATTCAAGTATATTGTTGCCCACTGATAATACGGTTAACGGGAAACGGTCGGCGCCCGCCGGCTTATGAAATCTCCAAGAATACTTCAGGAGCTCTATACTGATACTCTTTCGACCATGGAAGACGGGACCACGTAGTACTTGGAATATTTCGCAAGCCTCTCTGAGCAAGATGAAGTTAATTCTATGCCCGCGGAAATCGAAGGCTTATTCCGGTTGGTTCCCTCGAGGAAACTTCTTCCTGGGAAGTATTTTCTTCTTCGTCATTAAAATCGTGAATATTGACTCTTTATTAAGTATCTGCGTAACAGAGGAGACGAAGAGGGCATTGACGCCAATCGTCAAATTGGTCTCATCGCAAATTGGGTGTCGCTGGGTCCAAGTGGTAAGGTCGCCGTCGCGACGGCGCTAAGACTTTTCTTTGGTAAGGGTGGGGATATAGGGCCAACCGTAACATTTTATTGTCGAACTTTCGTCAATAAAGCTGCGCTAATAACTCAAGCTTAATTCACAGGGTCGAATTAACCGATCTGATCGGCCTCTTGCGCGTCCTCGAGACTCGCTTAACGACGTCTTAATTGTCATGATCGGCAAGATAAGTACTTTCCGGACGCGTCTCCCATTAGTTAAGTCTCATGGGATTTCATTAACGCACAGAATCCACATAGGGATTTCAACCCCTGAAATATATTGCCAACTCTTGCGAACTGTATCAAAAGACTCATTCCTCAAGATCGTCTTTAATATTACTTAACGTGCGTCGCTCCATGCAAGAGCTGTCTCTCGTGGAAAATTCTATGAGTAGGAAAAGCCGCATCTGACCTCGTACTGTATACTACAGTAATACTGTAGGTAAAATAGGCTGGGTAATACCTACTAAGTAAACTCGAATCTTTCTTTGCCAGCCATTTTCAATCGGCCCTTCGTTCCGGATCATCCTGTCTGAATAGTCGAATTCCAAAGAGAGACAAATCCTTTGCCGAACGTAAAGTACCTAATTACATTAATCAAACCGACTTGATTTGGTTAGGATTTTTAAGAAATATCAAAAGAATTCTTGAAACGAGTATTGAAAGCACTCGCGAAATTGCTTGAAATCGTTGCAATTATCTGTAAAAACGAAACTTTAAAGTCGAAGTCGGTAGTAACGCGTCAATCGATCCTTGAGCCCCTATTGGAACTCCGCATATTTTCTTTAACGTCCTTTTCTCATAACTCATTCCTTACTCGGTAGGAAATTACTTTGGCAGAATATAAACCTGATGACCTTTCAATCTTCTCAGGCTATCGCTGACCTGGTTAAAGCTATGAAGTGGAAACGATTAACGGCCATATACGAAACCAACGATGCACTGACTCGCATTCAGCAGGTTTTGTCGTTACAACAACCAGATGTCATGACAGTGAACGTCCGTGAACTCGGTGAACCCGATTATCGACCTCTGCTAAAGAAAGTTATAAAGTCACAACCCTATATCCTGCTGAGCATCAATGCCGAGAATATATTCACTGTCTTTTCGAATCTGAAGGAAATAAGGCCAAATCTGGATTACCTGTACAGCATCGTACTGGATCTGGTAAAAAAAAGTTTTTTATAATATTTAATAATCTTATTACATTTATATATATATATATATATCATATAAAATAATTCATTTAAAATATATATTAATATTAATGGTATACCAAGGAATATAACCTGAACAGAGGATAGGAACGGCAAAGAGATAACAATTACATCATTGCTATTCGTGTAACCAATAAATAATACTGTCTCGGATAATTAGACGGAAAATTAATATATCCATCTTGTAAAGAAGCATTATACGTATACAAAGTAACATTTTATACGTCCTTTCAAGTCTGGAATTAATTTCACCGAAAAGATGTTACACGGCTATTTGCAACCCCAAAAAATGCAGACCCTTATCAACGTCACTATCGTGACTTCGTTTTCGATAAAAATTTAATAACGTTACGCAAGAAAGCTTAGAGACGCCTTCATAAATTGTCAAGTCCGAGTGTCCGCGAGCGATGCGACAGGCCTGACGTGTAGAAAATATCACGAACAAACGAACGTGCACAATAAAATCGGCCTGGCACGTTCGCCGGCGAATATTTTCACATGTGGAATTGACAGTATTAGAAATATATGACACAATTTCAATCTTGCAGGATATGTGGAGACTGCCTCTTCACGAGGCGCTTAAGCAATCCAGGAGTAACATAACAGGATTTGAAATACTTACGGAAAACGCTAAGGACGTTTCTGAAAGCCTTAAATTCAATATGCAGGTAATTATTAATCATTTAATTAAATCTTATTACCTCAGTTTATGCAGCCATCTTGTTACACTGATGTTCATCGAAAGCACTTGTCGTTTGTTTTCATAAAATATGAAATCGTTATCCTTCCGATACGACTCTCCCGAGTCCTATCTCGTATCTCAACTAACCCCAATTGAAAGTACCTCAAGGATATCCCGCTCGATTTAACCGTCGCGGCCGAACAGACGTGAACCTACGTACCTATCGCTAGTATCGACGGGAGATTTTCGTTCTGCTAAAATTCGGTGCGTTGCGAAAGATCAAATCTCTCTCTTGAGAGTACAAAAAGTTCCTTACGTTTCTATCATATGATATTACAGTATGAATTGCTGCCAACTATGCGGTACCAAAAACCCGAAACTTCGTTGATTCGTTAGATCGTTCCGCGTGTACTGCCATTTACATAGACAGCTACTGAGACAGTAGCTGTCTGAGCTACTGACAGTAATTCATAACTGTTTAAAACACTTTGAATAATCCAAACACTCAAACCCCGTTGGGTAGAATACCAATTTTACGTTTTAATTATTTATTTCTATGTGACCACAAAGCCAGTTTTAACCTTAAAAGCGTTTGGTAATAGTATTACGAATTTATTTTATTGATTCAATTATATTATGATAAAACATCTGCGACTATTCTACGACGATTTTTTTTCTCGTAATATTGTTTAAACGTGTATTAGAAACGAAGGACAATTGAATTCCCATCGAATAACCTCCAACGCGTTTTATGTCGAACGATATCGAGGAAGAGCTCATTTCGTAAGCGGGCATAGTTGAATTTCGCTCGCTTGATGTAATTCCTTCATTAACCCCCTCGTACGGCAGAGGTACCGTTTCGAGCGTGCAATGGCCTACTCATTCTGCGTACCAGCCCACGACACGGTACTTACTACCAGCTGACGGCATCCCTTAATTTTCGTTTCATTAGCCTTACCCCACAGTTTGCATTGCGGGACTATACAAAGACATTAAACGGCGTATAGACCTAATGCTCCATTATTCTGAGAAAGAGACACTTACGGAACACGATAAAGGAAGACTGTACCCTCTGTTGAAAACGATTAGCAAAAATTTGTTTGGTAGTAACGACGGAAGCGATAGGATCCTTTATACGAGAATCCTGTGCGGACTGAATTTCACAACTTTAGAAATGACAATTATTGGTTTATTTTAATTCATTATTATCGAACACTTTTCACTACTTTTTATGTACGCAGGTCGAATCTGCTCTGCTCTACGATGCTGTCTTCCTGTTGAACGATGCACTCACTGTCCTGAACGAACGATTACAAAATGCCGACAAGCCGATGGTAATCGAGCCACCGCAGTTATCTTGTAACGGAACGGGAAAGTACTCTGCAGGTCCCAGCATTACCAACATTATGCGCGAGGTAAGATTCGCTTTGGGAGTGATGACTTTAAATGAAAAGTGTGAATTACTGTTACTTTGAATTAAAATTTAGGTTATCTTGCTTGTACAGAAATCCTCTTGTTAAAATAATTATGAAGCATGACTTATCTCCCCAGTTTTTCATACTTTCGCTCTTTCTTATCAACCGAGTTAAGAAAAATACGCTACCGAGTGCACGTTCATCGTGTTACGTTGAAGATAGCGCTTCTCCTGGGAAGAAAGTATGGTGTATATTTAAAGTGTCTCTGAAAAGATTGAAATAAATTTAATCACTTATTATCATTTTTAACTTTAGTCCATGATCAATATTTTTATTTTTATATGTCAATGTTACCGTACGCATGTACAGATATCGAAAGAAGGAAAATTAACCGGATATATGACATTTGACGAGGAAGGAAATCGTGAATTCGAACTGCCAGTAGTAGAATACCAAGCAATGAATTTTATACAAACCGGAGTGTGGACCAAAGATGGCGGCCTTCAACTTACAAGAACGGAAAGCGATCGTAAGGAAGCTATAATTGAGAATATCGAAAAAAAACTTTTCAGAGTCACTACAAGAGTCGTAAGTGTCCCTCTGTATATATTATAAATATAGATATTCATGTATAATTTCAAATGACTTTTAGGGTGAGCCGTACGTAATAGCGGTTGAGGAAGGAGCCGATCGTGGAATTCTTATTGGGGATAAGAGATACGAAGGCTACTGCATTGATCTTATTATGGAGATTGCCAAAAATCTCAAGTTCCAATATGTTTTCGAATTAGTACCTGACGGAAACTACGGGTCGCTTGATAAAAAAACAAATGAATGGGACGGTCTCATCAAACGCTTACTGGACCATGTAAGACACAAGCAGAGACGTCGGGTGCTTTGTCGATTGCTGAATAAATATGAGGCAATCTCGATACACACAAATCAAATGCAATGCTACATTGAACTTCCTTGTTTTTCTTGCAGGCCGCTGACCTCGCCATATGCGATCTTACGATAACCTATGAACGAGAATCTGTTGTCGACTTCACTATGCCATTTATGCATTTGGGTAAGACTATGAAGCGAGTCGTTTAAGAATAAGCAAAGTATATTATTGATTAAATGCGGATATTTCTTATTGCAATTTACTTTTTTGTATAATCTTAGGTATTAGCATTTTATACAGTAAATCGGATCCAGAGGAGCCAAAACTTTTCTCCTTTCTCTCACCCTTATCCCGCAGCGTTTGGATTTACATGGCTACTGCATATTTAGGTGTTTCTCTCATGCTGTATATTCAAGCAAGGTAATGACATTATTTATTATAAATCGAAATAACGAAATCAAAAATCTTTCCTACGCCATTGAACAGAGACTTTTACGTGTTTAAACAAAATTTCCATAACGATACGTGTAATTACAATATACTGCTTCAACGGCATATTAATATTTTTAATTCTATTTTAGAATATCACCCGGTGAGTGGGACAACCCCCACCCGTGCAATCCGGAACCGGAAGAACTGGAGAACAATTTCAACTTAAAGAATTCGCTCTGGCTCACCATGGGTTCCATTATGCAGCAAGGCTCCGATATTCTCCCAAAGTAAGATTCACCAGGAGCCCACACGCTAATCCAACCCGAAGCTTCCGATCTACGTTAACCGGAGCAACATTGCAAAGTTTTTAATGCTGGATTCAATATGACCACCGGAATTTCGAGAAGTACCGGTAATTGCTGGATAATCGAGGAATCGAACGAAAACTCGTCCGTTACGATAAGATTTCCTTATATTTGGGAAAAACAAGCGAATTAGAACCAGCACCAGCCAGTATTTTCTCAGGAAAGATAAGACACTGTGGCCCAAGCGTGGAGACGATTACGTTTACGATATTACGTAGCGTGCTTAACATCTCCCAGCTCTCCTCGCACGTGACTACCTGCTGCGCGAAGAAAATCCTAATCAGCGACCCGAAAAAATCCCTTAGTATCGACGACTATATGGATCGTATAGTATTTTCATACAAACCTCTTTCCTCTGAATCAAGTGGTCAGCTATTTTCACAAGCTTCCCATCATTTTTCAGGCAAATGTTATTGTCGTGCTATTCGGAACTCAAGGAAGTTCCGAAGAGTATTTTGAGGTTAGTTTAGTTCCGGAGCGAAGTAGACTTTGTCCTGATTTACCGGACCTCCTTTTTCCCTGTTCAATACAGATCTGCCAGCCTTATAATTTTGCTTGTCTCGGACTAGTTTTCTACGAAGTGGAAATATTATCGAAAAATTTACGTCACCGTATATATCTACACGGCTCAAAATCAATACCGTCTCATCGTAAAAGTCATGAAAGAGCCAGCCGACCGATCGTTCCATCCACTGGCATTCTTAGCTTCCTTGAGCTTCCTCCCGGACGGCATTCCCCGCCGGAAGTATCCTTTGTGATTACGGCATCTCCTAAACGAGCGGCGCTCGTTCACCCGTACGAAGCATCAATGTCGATAATTTATGCCCGATCTTCAATGCAGTCAAGATCGAATGATTTTAGCCGCAGATGGGCTCTCGCCCGCGGTGCATCCATTATGCGTCCGCTATGGCCTCACGGTGCTAAATGCACTCCATACAAAGAGGGCAGACTCGTCGCTCCGACGGTCGCCAGTTCCGAGGAAAGTTTCTAAGCAGCTTCCAAGGAAGCTGGCCTCTGGTGTCGCCGGCATTTTTTTACGACAATTAAGTTTAACGAGGCACTGTTTGCCGCACGTACTTCAAGCGGCTTCCCACTTATTAGCGCTGCCACGGCGCTAACTCTTCTCTGTGACATCACGCGTGTTTGCTCGCCACATACTAATGCTACTCAGTGTTTATGTTGTCAAGACTCACATCCACGACCCTCGGCAAACACTCCTCACTTACCTGCACAGCTGTGATACGTCATACGTGAAAAGCACGAGGAAGCCCCCTTTTTACCTTTTAACCTGAACTCCACTAAAAGTGCGATTTTACATTTTTCATTACTTTCACCCGCGACGATTACTTTCATTGCTTTCCTCGCTGATCAGGCACACAGGGAAACCCTAATGATTTATGTACCTTCCTAGCCGTCCTACACCTCCGTGCAAATTCTTCACGTTCTTTCGCCAACTTCACTCCTCCGACAAGATTTATCGCAACTTTTACGTATCCGACACCTTCTTGCGCTTTACGTCTTGCATATCTCTCTCCCTTTCGATTCGAAGCTATAAATCATCAAGATCGACGCCTTGACGAGTACGAGGGGGGTGGAAGATTTGCACGAAGTTTATTAAATTTTTTAATCTATCGATCTGCCACGTAAGCCTTTACCAATATCGAATACAAGGTACGTAAGTTTTTCTTCTTTTTTTTTTTAGGGCCCCATCGATACGCATGGTTGCGAGTATGTGGTATTTCTTCACTCTCATCATGATCTCGAGCTACACTGCTAATTTGGCAGCCTTCCTTACCACTGGTAAAATGGAAACGCAAATTCACAGTGCTGAGGATCTATCCAAACAGACTAAGATCAAGTATGGATCTGTGGACAGAGGATCGACAAAGTCATTCTTTCAAGTAATAATACTATTTTTTTTCTTATTATTATAAATATTTAATTATAACAGCATTCTCTTTGGCATATCTACAAATAATATTTACGATCGAAGAATTCGATTTCAACAGCCTTATCGCTTTGATAACTCAAGTCTTCGTTCAGGGATCGAATTTCTCGACGTATCAACGTATGTGGGCGGCCATGAATGATGCCAGACCTCGAGTATTCACATCGAGTAACGACGATGGTGTTGACCGCGTTTTAAAAAGCAAACAAAAGTACGCGTTTTTAATGGAGTCAACCACCATACTGTACAAGATACGAAGAAATTGCAGTCTCGTGCAAATAGGAGGAACTTTGGACACCAAAGGTTACGGAATTGCGATGCCTCGAGGTCAAAAAAACTTTCATACTAATTTTCATGTGATTATTTGTTAGATCAAACTTTTATACCAAACTCACGTTTTTTCCTTCTTTTTAATTCACGTATTTCAGATTCTCCTTATCGCACGATTATCAGTGGCGAGATTCTAAGGCTTCAGGAAAATGGGATTCTGACGAAGCTTCAAAGATTATGGTGGGAGGAAAAGCACGGTGGCGACACGTGTGATGGAAAAGACACGGAGGTTGATGATTCGAGTGAATTGGGACTGGCGAACGTGGGTGGTGTCTTTTTTGTTTTAATGTGCGGTTGTGCATTGTCTTTCCTAGTCGCCGTACTAGAGTTCTTGTGGAATGTACGCAAAGTCGCCGTTCAAGAAAAGGTACCTATACTATATAAACATATATGTATATATATACAACCAAAAGAAAGACTCTCCCCCAATCCTGTTCATCATTCATAATGCGAGGAACAAGGCGCACGTTAACGAGCTGACCTAAAACAATTTTCTTTGGCAGATCACACCCTGCGAAGCACTAATAGCCGAGCTCAAGTTTGCCGTAAACATTTGGGCGAAAACGAAACCGGTTAAGGTGGCGAAAAGCAGTAGCGGTACAAGTTCAGCCGCCGGGGGACTTGGCAGAGCAGCGTCCACTGCCAGGTCCATTGTAGGATCTTTTCTACGTCTCGACAAGCTCGACAAATTCGACAAGGACAACAAAACTAATTGACATGGAAAACGGCAGCAATGGGATTGACTTATCGTTAATCTATTAATTGATAAAATAATCGATAATCGTATTTTGACTGAATGCATTAAACTTTTGATTGGTTGTTGCCTACGGTGTTGCCATTTGTAATAATAATTTATTTGCCGAAACTCTGCGCGACGTTAGTCAAGTCGGATAATAATTGTTATGAAAATCTTCTGCGAGTCACGGAATCTCTTATTCATTTTTATTATTATGACTATGGAAATCCTATACTGTATTTTGAATAGGTACCGAATAACTTTGGGTCGAAGGTGGGACGTGAAAGACCACACGGTGTAACGTCATACACTGTGTGCCACCATTGGCGACCCACAATATAATGCCATAACTTTTTAGGCACGAACCGTGCTGTATTTTATGGCATCCATAGACAATGCATTGTGTATTCTTGACTGCTCTTATCCGTAATATATCTGTCAGCCATGGCGACCCGATGGTCCAAACGAAACCTCAAAAACGCCGACGTGTTCATCGCGCGGTACCTCGTGTGGTTAGAGAAGCTTGGATACTTGCGTTATGTTTTCAGAAGTTATAGCTTCCCCTTTTTTTTTTCTTTCTTCACTGTTGCAACAAACTTCTAAATAAAGCTTGTCAGTAATTCAGTATCAAACACGATTGTTGGATTTGTGAGAAAGAGTTTAATAAAAATGTAATTCCTTCGTACCTTTAATTTCTATTTAAATTCGTGTAATTTCGGCAAGAACGAAAGATATCTGGGACATACGTTATTTCTTCATTCGTGTCTTTACAACGGACAATGTGAAAATTCTCGTTAAAGTATGCTCAAGAGTTTTATTCGAAAGCGTGAGAGTTACGAGTAAAGTTTTTGGTGACGGGGCACGGCAATCCGAAGATTATTTGATTTTCTCAAACTTTCATATCTCCAAGAAAAATGTATTGCGGATGGAAAAAGTGAAATTTAATTTAAAAACATTTATTTTACTGTGTTACTTGGACGCGTTGGTAAAAAGATTATTGTTAAAGACGATCAAATCGATTATCTCGAATGGACAGTTAATTATTGGGCAATAAAGTGAATCGAGTGTAAAAGATCAGACGTAAAATTTTCAAATCACGAAAGACAGGCTAGTTAAGCTTGAGTCTGGGATCACACATGGAAACTTGTATCAATTCGGCAGGCGGCTCACTTTCAAGCCACGTTGCGTGGCTTCGGTCCTAAACTGCTGCGACGAGAGAAATATGAAACGATCTTGATATTAATTATCATCCAAGCGACGTATTAATGGCTTATTCTACGAGATAGCAGACAAGAAAACTGCGCCCTAAATCACAGCCAGCCCCCTGCACGGGTGTTATGATAAGTCCTTTTTAAGAGGGTAGACCTTATAAAAACATAGCGGGGAAGCAAAAGAGTCAAAGAAATATAGAAATAACTCTTTTCACCATTAAAATACAAAAGGCGCCCATAGGAAAGCTATACGCGCCCGTTGCTCACGGGATCTAGTGGAACCCACGGGATTAAGGAGTACCGCGGAGATCTTTTATCCTTTGTAAAAGTAAAGTGGTCCAGGAGAATAAAAACGAAGAATAGCCTCGAGACGATCGAGATGACGTTAGTGAATTCTGTGACATTGCGGGACCTTAATTCATATTGAGTGTACATCTAGCTGAAAAAATATTTCAGGATGCTGCTGGACCGAAGCTCCTTTAATACCAGCATCCTCCAGGATCTTTCACGTAATAATACAGCATAAAAATATATCTCGCAGGATCTTTATGTTATTCCTATGCTGTAGGTATGTGCACCGTATAGCCGTAGAGTGATGGCGGTAGCGATGCTGTAGGTCCAGCGCAGAATCCAACAATATTTGGACTTGGTCATAATGGCGTTAACGAACCGTTCCCTAGGTTTAGGGGATTTTCGTCTCCAGCAAAGCCCCGGGGTCTCCGCGTACCCCCCAGGGTACGCGGCACCTTTGTGTCATTATTGCTAGGGGACGTTTCGATCCGACTATGGCACCGAATGGACCTGCCACGAATAACGATAACTTCTCAAAGGAAAAGCCCCGGCCAAAGTGCTTCGAGCGGGCGAGATCGTTTGCGCAACAAGCGTCATTGCTTAATTTCATTTTCACTCATTTTCCTCCCCTCCTACATTGCCGAACGCAAATAGTCTCGAGTCAAGTGAAGTTCGTGGGTAATTTGGAGAAATTGCTGAAATCGTTGAAAAAGGCTTAATTATTTATTAGCATTTCGACGGAAGGATTGCCACGAATAATGGATGATAAACTTTGGTTAAAAAAATATCAATGCAAAAAATTGTACTGCGAAAGAAGTAAAGTTTTGCGAATCGAATAAAAGATAATGACCGAAAGATTTTCTCGCTCCGCGCCACTGTACTTCCACCGGTTGGTCTTAATTATGCAAACGAAGTAAATACAATGTAAACTCCAAGCCAGCAGGTTGCGAATTTTCGCAACGTGTGTAAATAACGTCGCGCAATTACATGCAATTTACGATATTGAACGGGTTACAGTGCATAATAAATATAAAAAGACCATACCAGCCTCTCCGGAGTTTCTTATTGTAATTTCGGCTGTTTTTAAGGAATTTCATAAAAATATACATATATAACCATACGTCCTACAGACGTACTCCTGCGTGTCTGGTAATTGTTTATGCTAAGTATCGAAGTGGAAATTTCGCTCATTAATAATGACTTCATATTCGGCACTAATAGCATTACCAGCGGTGATCAGACGGCGTGTAACTATCCACATAAATATTCCGAATGGGTGAATTTCCAGCTAACCGGCACGCAGAGACATTGACAGCGACAAGAAGAAGACCTCCGAGGTATTCGAGTGATTCATAGAAGTCCCGAAAAGAAGGATCGGCAATTATTCAAGATGAGGTGTTGTCCTGTACAAACAGTAGACGCGTGGGAGGTCCTCTTGTGCCGATCAGGACGAAACCCCTGCCGATCGTCCTGCCGACGAACCTGACGCCTCTATTTGACTCGCTAAGTACTTTCGTGCCGTTCCCTTCGGCTACCTCGGAGATCTTCAAAGTAACAATGCATCTATTTGCTTTCCTTCCTTGAAAACTGCGCCGCCCAGTGACGGTTACGTCGGGACCCCCCCTGCCCCAGGAAAAACCAAGCGACGCATCCCGAGGGGATGAAGACGTGAGATGCCGTCGCGGCGCGCAGCGCCGACGTCAAAACGGAAAGCATGCTGAGTGAGCCGTGACATTATCGAAAGGCGAAGAGACAGGTCTGCTTGGCGACATACATGCGTGTACCGGAGAGCGCAACAGGAAGTGGCCGAGGGAAACGAATTTCCTGAAAAAAAAGAATGGCGGGAAATTCAAATCGCTCCTTTCGTTTTTTTCATTTGAAAGAGACGAGGATGGGTACCAATGAAATTTTTCCTCTTCCACCAGCTTCTGTCTCCTCTATATCCGTATTCTGTTCGCTCATACAATTTACTCATCCCTTTTGCGACCTTTCGCTCTCCTGAGAATTCTCTCGATTAGGTATATATGTATATAACACGTATATCTGAAAGTTGCGCTACTCCTTTGCACAGCTTGCGCACCTGACGAGAGAGAAGGAGAGATGCGCGTGCGCGCACTTGTGGACCGGTTTTGCAAAATCCGAGGGATTCCGCGTAACAATCCGTTCCAAGTAGGGGATCGCAGGGATCGCCGGCACGAAGTATCATGGCGCGCAGTGAGCATCGGTTGGATGCTGGACGTTTTTCGTTAGTTCGCAAGGGGATGGAGAATTCCAAAGAAAGTCCTGACTCCTCGCGCTCGGCTCTCTCATTCATGCTGAGTCTTTTCAATAAAATACCATTGGTATATTGCACTTACATTATGCTCGCAGCATTCCGCCCTACTGTTTACCTCTGTCTCCGTCGGTCTTTCTCTCTCGCGCTTACCTGGAGACCGAAGCGATTGGTGTGTCGGTGCCAGCCAAAAGAGGCAAGAAGGTAAGCGCGGTAGCCGGCCCGGTCGGTAAACAGATTGGAATCCATTGAGCGAAGAAGAGTTCTATTTGATATAATAATACGATTCATTCCATTCCTGTGGACCAATTCGAGAGCCGCGCTCTCATTAGAGACCAGCGGGACGTCTCCGGCCAGGGTTTTCTATCCTACGTATACAGAGAGACTACATGGACTCTCTTCGAATCGCGGCAAATTAGAATTCTTACCCGGTGACGATGAGAATTTCGCTCGCTTTCTTATTCATCTCGAGCCGCGCTTCAACGCTTTGCTATACCAACTGAGACCTCTTCCTTTTTATTCGGATGATTCGTTCGAGCTTTTTTATTCACGCGTCATGAAACTCTTTGGACGGACGAACGTAGATGGACATTTTTCATAAGAAAAACTTGAAGCAAGAATACATTTTTTCATTTTTACGCACTGTTTCTTGACTTTTTTTTTTTTTGAAATTAGTGAATCTTATATAATATGCTATTGACTTTGTATGATTATACGTGCTGGAATCTTATTTTAAAAAGGAAGCCTAATACTGTAAGGAAGGAAGAAGCAAAATCTTCAAATCGTCTCGATCGAGCAAAGAAAAAAACAAAGTGACTCGATGTAATTTACAAAAAGTCCCAAGTCCAATCTTTGAAGTGACTGGCAAACACAGCGGTGACTATCGCTTAAATCATATATACCGCTAATTTCAATTAATTAAATCAAGGTCCTTGCGGCAGGCCTTCGATGGAATTCAAAATGGCGTCACGCGGCGTGATCGCTCGCCTCGATAAATATCATTTGTGCCGCTTTTCTTTTTTGCCGCTCATTACCTAACGTAATTAAGGCGATAATGGTTCCGTAACCTTCGTTGGAATGCGGCTGCAGTTTTCGATTGTCGATTAAATATTTTGCTCCCCCCTACCTCCTCCGCCATCACCAATTGATCAAAATCGATAAGAAATTCAAACGCTCCCTTACCCCTTCTATGCCTCTACTCTAGTGTCTGCCTTATCAGCACCACTTCCTAAGAAGGATAGATCCGACCTCGGCGTGAACCTATCGACCTAGGTAAAGATGTCCGCGGAGACGCTCGTAGCGTCGCGACGCTCGATCAAACCATCAGAATGGCCAATGTCAATGGAAAGTCAAAAGAACATTAACACAGTCGGCAGGGAAGTTCAAGCGCGAGGAAGATCTCAGCTTCTTAGCTTCTGAGCTCAAAGCCCGAACCGCGTCGAGGGAAGCAGGAATTGAAATTGATTTCGGTCGACTTCCATTACTCAAAGACGACCAGAAAAATGTACCGACAAAAGTCAGGACTGATCCTTCGAGGATAAGGGCAACTTAGTCCAGTCGAAAGAGGTTCCCGGCGGCCATGGCCCAGGAATTCTTGGCGTGTTTACCAGCAGGAGAGGATCCGTGACTCTCTTTGCACCGAGCCGACATCTTCTGCCGAAGAACCTGGTGCCGGCGACGTCCCTATCTTCGGGAAGAGCTTCGAATTTCCGATGGTATCGCGAGCTTTCCCAGACGTGCTCCCAACCCTAAATCGATATGACTATAGCCACGGAGATTCCCAATTCGACGGCAGAAGCAGAAACGGCCACTGTATGACTCCTTTCGGTCTAACCATATTTACCAATGGATTAATATACCAATGGATCAAGAAGCTCATCAATTTACAAGCTCAGCTACAATATACGCTGATAAAAAG